TCAGATGTGTACAGCCTTCTTCTGTAGATGAGGGGACTGATGTATTCTCTATAGCCTTCTGGGGTCTAGCAGAGTCCAAACGTGAGAGTTACAGAAGCAGAATTTAACTCAAAGGAAGAACATTCTAGCAACTGAAGGGATTAAGTTGATGGGTAGTGAGCTCCCTGTCATCAGAGGTCTATGAGCAGAGGCTGGCTAGCCCGTCAGGAAGCCTGTGAAGGGGATGCCCAGGTCTGCTGGTGCCATTCACTGTGTGGCTTCTTCCAGCTCAGTCTCTGAGACACACCTTCCTGCCATATCGTCCTGCTGGAGAATGCGGAGCCCAGCAGGTGATCAGTGCTAGCCAGGAGGCAGCTCCCGACTCCGTTGGCTCCGTGACTGGGTCTGGGATAGACGTGAGAACCACCAGGGCCAATAAGATGTGCTGAGACTTTTGCCAGACTGCTGGAGAAAGCCGCCCTAAAGGGTGGCACCTGGTTCTGCTGTGTCCAAGGTCACACTGGGAGCACAGTCCACACAGGCCGGAGGACGTCAGGAGTCCTGGATCAGGCCACACCTGATGCTAGCTCACTGTGCACCAGTCAGGAAGGTAAGCTCCCTGTTGCTGAGGCCGGTTTGAGCTGGGCTTTCTGTCACTTGCCCCGAAGGACCTGGCCCTGAGGCACCGTCTTGCATCTGGATACCTACAGCAGCCCCTAGGGGTCCTCCGCCTTCTGTGCACCCCCTTCCAGCCAGCCCAAGCCTTCGTGTAGTCAGCATGAGCTGTCTCAGAACAGCTGACCACGTCCGCTGGAGAGAAGTCTGCCCTCCTTCACCTGGCTGGGCCCGTTTGCACCCCTGCACCATGTCCCTGGGCTCTCTGACTTCTGCTCTGCCCGGCAAACCCTTCTCTAGCTGTCAGAGCACCTCTAGAACGCCACCCACGCGGGAAGGCGCTCTGTTCCCCTGGGCCCTGGAGCGGCCCGCGCCAGGCGCCCGGGCTTCCCTTCTGTCCCAGCATCATACAGGTGTTGTGGTGTGGCCACAGGCATGTGCTCTGGAGCCAGCCTGGGTCCAAATCTTGGCTCTTCCTCAGGCAGGCTGTGTGACCTTGACCACGGTACCCCACCTCTCTGTGCCCTGGCTGCTGCACCTGCCAAAGGGGATCCTAATGGCGCCAATGTCACAGGGTCCCTGAGGGCAGTAATGAGTGCCGGCCGCTGCTGCCCTTGCCCCCTCCCCCGTCGAGGCCAGGGGGCCCCGCGTGGCACAGGAAGAGGAAGGAAGCCGGGCAGGGGTGAGGAGGGAAGTCTCCCCCTCAGAGGGACTCATGGCCTCCAAGTGTGGTGAATGCCAAGGGGAGGGGCCTGCAGACAGATATGGCCCGCGTCACTGCCCCTCACACCCCACCCTCTTGAGTCACCCACTGATGTGGGCTGATGAGTCTTATCGCAGGCCAAGGTGTGGCCAGGGATGGTCTTTGAGGTCCCCAAGTGACATCAGCCATGACCTCATCCGATGGGAAGCCCAGGGCCTGGACAAGGGTCAGGTGACAAGGTAGAGGCTGCCAGGAGTTCGGACGGCTCGGCCTGAGGACCAGGGCCCAGCGCCGCCATCCGGCTCCCCGCAGAGGTGGAGGTGCGGGATGGGGGTGCCCAGGGAGAGGCAGCCCAAGTCCGGCCCGGGTGCACTCAATTCCATTCTGATCAGTGTAGGTAACATTGTCCGACACCCAGCGTGCACCAGCCCTGGGGAAATGAGACCCTGTCCCCTCTCGGCAAGGGGCTGCCATCCAGAGCTGGATCAGACATGACCTAGATGGTGGTCAGATAATAACCCAGAGCAAGGGCACTGTTCACAGCCAGAGACCGCCCCCCCCCACAGGCACAGGACCCGGAGCCCCACAGAAAGTATCCCCTTTGCCCCAGAATGTCAGGGTGTCCCCCAGCAGGCGCTCCTCACGAGCGCACGGATGAGGCCGGGTGTGGGACAGGATGCCCTCTGCTGTGGCCGTGCCGGGTGCCCTCCCTCGCCCATGCTGACATGGGCTACGTTTTGTTAGAGGCTGCCACGGCAGTTACACGGTTCTGAGGGCCTTCAGTCCCCACAGATCCTCTCCCCTCTTCTAGAACCTTCTGGCCCTGCTGTGTTGTATGCCCCATGTCACGTGGGCTGACCCCAGCCCATTCACCGAACAAAGGTTCATGGAGCTCTTCCCCTGTGATTGTGTTTTCTGGGGAGGCCCAGCGTGAGGCAGGCGTGCTCACGAGTGAGCAGGTGAGGCGGCTCTCACCTACTTCAGCATCTCAGCCCTTGCTCCCGAATTAGCTTCCAGGACTTTCTGCCAAGCTCGGGCACTACAGCCGAAGCAGTTGCCTCCCCACCCACAACCCCGCCGGGAAATCCAGTTCGCACCTGCTGACTAGTGGAACTTCTTGTGGAAGCCCCAGGCCATCTTGTCCCTGTCCCTGGTCCCACCAAGGAGTATTTTATGGGGAGTCCCATAGGGCTCACTGTCAGGACACGGGCCACATCTTCTCTCTGAGGCTCTCTGGGGAACCCTTCTCCCCTCCTGACGGTGAGAGAAGAGAGGCTGCTTGTTCTCATCACATGGACATCATGTTTCCCTCTTTGCCCTGGTGACTAGGAAGCTCAGAGCCACGTTTATGGGCACGGGCTAAAAAATATCATCTCATGGTAAGAATTTGTATATCAACTTCACCTCTGGCTTTCCATTACTTTTCTACCCCTCTTTTTTTTGGTTTTGTTTTGTTTTGCTCTGTTTCTCCTTTTTATCTGTTCTTGTTCGTAAAGAGCCTTAAACATGGGGGTGGGGGTAAGGGGGAGTAAATATACATGACTGAATGATAAATTTATGCAGACAAAATAGCCTCCCAGCACTCGGGGGAGATGTCGGAGGCGGGGGCGGCCAGAGCATAGCAGAGAGGGCCTGGTGGGGTGCCCCGGGGCGCCAGCCCAGAAGCCTGGACTGAGGACAAGGTGCCTCCCATCCCGCGTACGTCCCGATGGCAGCAGAGCCTCCGCCCCTCGCCAAAGAGCCCCCCTTCAAGGAACGCACACCCACAGGTGAGCAGGGCTCCGGGAGAGACTCAGACGCCGGGAAGGGGTTCCAACGCCGTGGGATGCTCGTGGGGGTGTCCCGGTCTGCGGAGCGGGAGGCAGGAAGGAGCAGGAGCGGCAGGGGGCGCTGCTCCCACCGTCTCCCCAGCAGCTGCCCCTGACATCTGGAAATGGACGTCCCTGTGAGCCCGCAGAGCACTCTGCCCACCCCCACCCCCCGGCCCTGCTCACTGCAGCCTCCCGGAGCCCAGCCACGTCAGGGGAGAACAGAGACGACCCCAGGGACCACACCCTGGCTTCCAAGCACGGGAGGGAAGCTTGTATGCGTCCTTTCGCTCTGGGCCTCAGTTTCCCCATCCGTACAAGGAATGGATATCCCCTTAGCCAGGCGGTTGTACAGGTCATAGGTGGCCATTGGGGGCAGTGTGGTCTCGAGGGAAGAGCTTGGACCTGACTGGCAGAAAGGCCCAGAGCTGAGTCTCAGCCTGCCTGCCACACGCTGTGACCTTCCCCTTCTGCAGCCTCCGCATAAGGATCCTAATAGCTGCCTCCTCGGCGCCATGAATATTGAGTCAAATGATGTATGCAGGGCCCCCCGGGGCCCAGAAGCAACAGTCGCTGTCACTCGTAAGTGACAGAAGAGTGACAGAGGCTCGTATGGCTCCCGTCTGCAGCAGCTGCCAGCCCTGGAGCCTCTCTGGAGACTCAGTTTCCCCAGACAAAGGGGTGAGAAGAAATGAGCTCCTGGCCCTGCCTGTGGTCTCTGTTCTTCTGGGCACCATAGCATTCAGGCACGCAGAAGCACTGCCCTGAGGGGTGACAGCACATTTCCAGGCCACCCTAGCCGCTGCGGGCCCCCCAAGTATCCCTTCTGCTCAGCACTGCCTGGAAGTCTTGGCTGGTGACCCCGCCGCTGGCCAGATGTTATTTAATACGCTCACCAAGAAGCCCGTGTATATCGTGGACTGATGTGTTGTTCTATATATTTAATGCCCGTATTCCAGTAGCCCTTCTAACGCTGTGCAGTCTGTTTTATACATTTAAAAAAAGCATCATGCTGCGAGCCAGCCTTCCCAGACTTCACAGGGTGAGGATCCGCAGGGCCAGGGTTTGCACACGTGCGTTTTCTCCCACCCAGTGAGTTGCCACTCTGATTTGCTTCTGCTTCCGGAGCCTCTGATCAGGCGGTGACCAGCTCCTGGTGTGTCCTCTGCCAGACCCCAGTCCCATTGCTGCATAGCCCACCCCTTCCCTGGGGTCCTCCCACCAATCCTGGGAGGGAGCAAAGTGCTCTTCATTGCCCTTCTGGGCAGGGGGAAACTGAGGCACAGAGCCGTAGCCAACTCCCAGGGTCACAGAGCAGGGAGAGCTGGGACTGGAAGCCCAGACAGAACTGTCAGACATGGCAGACAGACTGTCACATCCTCCAACCTGTAAACAGTGAGAAGTCAGGCACAAGGCGGGCGCTTCCTGAAGGTCTGTCCCAGGTGGAGGTGGGGAGCCAGGAGGGGTGACATCTGCCCTTCCAGCGCTGCAGCTGGGGGAGGGGGCGTGCTGGGGAGGAGGAGCGGGGAGATCTGACCTGTCCATGTCCCTGGGGACAGGAGGAGCTCAGGTCCTTGGAACCCGGGGCACGGACAGGACTGGCACAGGGGCTCTGGGAGGGCCCGAGGCCTGTGCCTAGCGGACCCCTCCGCCCCGCGGACCCCTCGGCTCCGCCCCTCGGGCCCCGCCAGCTGACCCATATCCCGCCTTTCCCAGACCAGGCAGGCCGGGGGCCTGGTGGGTCCAGACCGGGAAGGCCGGGCGGGGGCTGGCGGGGGCCGGGGCGGGGCTGGCCGAGGGGCCGGACCGCCCCTTCCAGCGAGGGCGGGCCGCGCGCGCGCGCGCCTTTAAATGCGCCGGGGCTCCCAGGCGCGCCGAGTGTCGGCCCAGAAGGAGCTGGCTCCTCTCCGGTCCGCGCGCCCCGCCCGGCATGCCCCTGTGGCCCCGCGGCCCGCCCGCCTGAGCCGCCGGCGCATGTGGCCGCGCGCCCGGCCCCGTCCCCTCCGCAGGCGGCCGCCGCCCGGCCCCGGCACGGCCTCGGCGTCCCCGCTGGTCCCCGGCCGGTCCCCCGCGCTGCCGCCCGTCCCCGGCCCCGCCGCTATGCCGGCGCGCGCTTTGCTCCTGGCCGCGCTGGCCGCGCTGGCGCTGGCCCGAGAGCCCCCGGCGGCGCCGTGTCCCGCGCGCTGCGACGTGTCGCGGTGCCCGAGCCCCCGCTGCCCCGGCGGCTACGTGCCCGACCTCTGCAACTGCTGCCTGGTGTGCGCCGCCAGCGAGGGCGAGCCGTGCGGCCGCCCCCTCGACTCGCCGTGCGGGGAGAGCCTGGAGTGCGCGCGCGGCGTGTGCCGCTGCCGCTGGGAGCACGCTGTGTGCGGCACCGACGGGCACACCTACGCCAACGTGTGCGCGCTGCAGGCGGCCAGCCGGCGCGCGCTGGAGCTCTCGGGGACACCCGTGCGCCAGCTGCAGAAGGGCGCCTGCCCATCGGGTAAGCGCTCGGCCCGGGCGACGGGCGCGGGGTGTGAGGGAAGGCGCCTCCGGGGGAAACTGAGGCGCAGAGCTGGGGAGGAGCCTCGAGGTCCGCACTGGTTGGGCACAATGGGCAGAAATCATCTAATCCGACCCCTGGCCTTCCGGGTGGGGAAATCGAGGCCCAAAGTCACAGAAGTAGTTCAGAGTGAAACCCGGTGCCCTCCTGACCACCCTAGGGGTTTGGTCTAGCTCCCTGCTTCCCTGTCTCTCTCTGTCCTCATCAAAACGTACCTTTTCTGTGTATCATTTCTGCTGGTCCCATATTCCTGCTCTGTGCGGGTGCTGGGTGGAGAGCAATCTTTCCTGGCCTTAAATCTAACCCAGAACGGATGTTCTCTTGAGCGACATCCAGTGTTTCCTTTCTTTTTAGCTGCACTTAGAGTTCACGTCTCTAGAGGGCTGTTTGGGAATGGTGAGCCAGCATGTGGGGTCTCTCAGTGGCTTGGGGCCTCCTGGGACAGGCTGCTGAATCAGGGACCTCCTTTGTCCCTTCAAACCCTAGGACAGCCTCCCCCCACCCGGAGCTGGCCCAGAACTGCTGCTTGCCACACAGCTTGACCCTGTGCATGGAAGAAAATGCTAGAAAACCCTGCCGCCCCTTTATTTGTTTAGGGCACCTCTTAGGAAGTTGGTTCAATAGGTACTTGCGGTTGCCATGTGCTTGGGGCTGAGCCCCAAGTTCGCAGAGATGAGTCGAGCCCTGTGTATGCCCTCAGTTTCCAGCTGCTGGGGGGAGACGCTGACCACCGGGCCCGGCTTTGTGGGCCCTGGGAGCACCGTGGGGAGTCCAGCTGCCTGGGGTGCCAAGAAGCCTTCAGGGATAAGAAGGGTCTCAACTGAATCCCTCAGATCAGGGGGGACAGGTTCTCCAGGTAGTGGTAGGAAACGGTTCTTTGGGAAGAGGGGAGAGCGTGAGCCACCATGTGGAGGGCATGGAGCCAGGAGCAGCTGGTGGGGGGTGGGATGCATGGGGTGGGGGGTGCAACACCCGCGGCTGGGCAGGCTGGTGGGGATGGGGGACGAGTGGCCATAAGCGTCCTGCCGTTGGCTTAGATTTCATCCTGCAGGCCAGACTTCCCCCAGTTGTGTCTGGTATTCTGAAAATAAGTGTCTCATGGCCCAAAAAGTTTGGGAACATAAACACCGTCCGTGCAGTGGTGATTCACACTACCTTGGAGTCTATCAGAAGTTCTGAGAGAACCTACAGTGAGAAAAACAAACAAACAAACACACACACACAAAATCATAAAACCCAGGGTTTTCCAAGAGAATTTCAGCAGAGAGCTCTTCTTTCCTGGCACAACACGTATGCGCTCCTCCTGGCACCCTGGGGTTCTGGGGAGCCCAGTCTGGGAAGATTGTATAGGATTAAATATTATTTGGGGGGGGGCCAGTGAAGGGCTCTAAGGGAGGTGAGGGCCACAGTGTCAGACTTGTGTTTAGATCATGCCCAGGAGAGCGAGGGATGAGGGCGCTGGGCCCTGCAGAGCGTCTGAGATGGGCGTTGGCATTGAATGAGCCACCACGGCTACACCTCACAGGTGGCCCTCTGCCCCAGGACTTGGCACTGGGGGGCCACCTCAGGCCGTGTCGGTGGCTCCAAGAGACCGCAGGCTCAGGGCGAGGCGTGCCTGCCCACTACAGCTTGGTTGTGTCCATGGGGCCCCCCAACCCTGACTCCCCCATGTGGGGGATCCTATTAGAATAAGGTTCCAGGGCCAGGGGCGGGGGGGGTCCTAAGCATTTCGAAACCCCCATTTCTTGAGGATGGAGTCCACATTTGTAAAGTACCTTGTCTGTGTGTCCAGCTGGCCCGGGGCTGGCGACAAGGGAACCCTGATGGTCATTCCCCGTCTGTGCCCTGGAGAAACTCGACAGCTGGGGACACACGCGGGAGGGTGAGAAGACAGGAGGAGCCTGACCCCAGACAGGTGCAGAGGTCGCTCCGCAGGCAGGAAGGGCATGATGGGAGGAGGGGCTGCCAGCGTGGAGGTCACGGGCTGGGGCTCTAAGGCTACTGACCCCCAGTTCTTCTTCTGTAACGTGGGTAGGGCTGGCAGGGACCGATGAGCCAGGGTGTGTGGGCACGTGCCCCCTACTGAGCCCTCGGTATAGACCACTTACTAGTTCACAGGTGACTGTCCCTGTTAGGACCACCACCGTGTCTGGTTTATGTGGCCAGGTCAGCTTCTGTGCTGAGCTGTGGAAGGTGAGTTGGAGCTCTCCCTGCAAAAGATGGGCCGAACAGGAGGGACCAGAGCAAAGCAGAGGCAGAAGGAGCGACCTCACAGGCCCAGAAGGCCACGGGCCTGACCCAGCCAGAGCCGCAGGGGCAAGGAACCCGTGAGGGAGCCGGGGCTTTAAACAGGGGGGTGGGGAGGCCTCAGTGCTGCTGGGAGGGCGCTCGGGGCTGGGGTCGGTGCCCACTGTGCACGTTATGGTCTGTGTGGCCCTGCCCTCGCTCCTGGGCCCTGTGCCATCAGCATCGCCCCATGCACAGGGACCGTGGACATCCAGGTTTCTGCCAGTTACACTCACTAAACCCAGTCCTTACGGAATACTTGCTGCGCCGGGTGGGGTCTCTTGCTCACGCTGTTTATCTGCCTCTGCCAATCTGGCCCTTTGTACAGCCCAGATGCGCTCAGGGAGGCAGGGGGCAGTCAAGTGATTGGTCTGAGGTCACTTGGCCAGGAAGTGACCGAGCCAGGCCAGGACCCCCGCTCTGGCTGGCTTTAAAAGCGGCACTGTCATGGGGCCCAGACTTTCTTCTGCAGGTCCCCGAGGTCTGGAGTCCGGGTCCGGCCGGGGTGCCCGGCTCCACGGGGCTCAGCCTTCATCGAGTGTCACTGACAGCGTCCACTCCACCCCCGCCCTCCCGAGGGCCCGTCCCGAGGCCGCTGGGTGATGTCCTCTTGTAGCGGCCGGCAAGGTGCCGCCCATCCTGGGCTTCTCCGCACAGAATTCCCGCCGGCTCCACCCTCAACTGGGCCTGCCTTCAGATGTCCAGGCGCTGACGACTCGGGTCCAGTCCCCAGTGCCCGGTTTGTCCTCTGCTGGCCTGGTCCTCAGCCACACATGTTTGTCATGTCACCTTCCCCTGGCTCCTTACTCCCACCCACAGGCAAGAGTCCTCAGCTCCACCTGGAACCCGCCCCCGAGCCTCCCTTGATCCTCCTTGCCCCAGCACCGCTGGCCTGACCGCTGGCCTGCACGGCCCCACCTCCCTCATCTCCCTCCCGTCACTTCTCCACACAGCGACCACGAGAACCTGGATCCATCCATTCTGCCCATCCCCAGCAGGAACTCCTCAGCAGCTCCCCAGCACTGATTGACCCACGAGGCCATGTGCCGTCTGGCCCCGCCCACCCCGCAGTGCCACCTCATCCTCTGTGCTCCTGCCTGCCCTTCTGCTCCCCACCTCAGGGCCCTTGCACATGCTGGGCCTGCAGCCCCAGATGCCCATTCCCTCACCTTCACGGAGCCACGTGCTCCTCTGTCTGGGCCTAGATGTCCCACCACCCCTGAGCCACCTTCCCTGACCACCACACCCAGACAACCCCTTCTTCAGCCTCATGAGCACACCGCGGGGTCCCTGCAGACCCACCCTCCCTTCACTGGTGTGACCAGGCTTCTCTGCAGTATCTCCATCTCACCAGCTCTGAGCCCTTGATTCCCTGCCAGGCCCACTGCAGCACCCGGTGCACAGTAGGAACTGTGGAATGAACGGATCATCTGTTCAATAGGTGAATCCCCTATGACCCTCCGATCCTCCTTGCATACCCCCAGTGAAGGGGGCTCACTACCTTCCAGGAGCTTTGCATATCCCCATCTCCCCTGGCAGCAGGGGGACTGCATGGTGTGGAGAAGTGTCTGTCAGTGGGATAGTGAACACGGAGATGAACGTGCTCAGCGTGTCTATAGGGAGAGGAGGCTTCCTTGTTCACCTAAGCAGAGCCCCGTGACCCTCAAAGCCTCCCTGCCCACGACTCGGACAAATAGGTCTATGCGCACACAATTAATTCAAAACTTAGAGCCCGAGGGCAGTTTACAACGTGGCATTTGATAATCTGCGTGGATTGTGCAAGCCCAGCACAGGTTCTGACGGCGTCTCTCCCTGTTTTATCTATTTAAGAGCTTCGCTCGGTGTTTGAGTTCTAATTGCTTTCGCGGCTTCCTGCGTATGTCTTGGATGGAATTCAGCCCCGGGGACCAGGCAGGATGACGCCTCCCGTCCTTCTCCCCCCGCCCCTTGCCCTCACGCTGGACAGCAGAGCCCAGCTGCAGCCTCTGGCGCTTCTGAGCCAGGAGCCCCGTCAGAGGGGAGCGGAGACCTGGGTACTGAGCAGCCGTGCTTTGTGACCAGGGGCCCAGGGAGCACCCCACGCTCTGTGCTCCTGCTGTCGGCCTGGAGGTGTGGCAGGGGTCCCACCGCAAGCCCTGGGGTCTGCCTGCTCAGGCTTCTCCCCTTGCCCTGCACCTCCACACAGCGGCCCGAGAGGGTGTCGTAAGACTTGGATCTCCCTGCCCAAAGCCCAGCCGTCAAGACCAAGCAAGCACAGACTTCTGGTGCTGCCTGGCCTCGCCTTCCTGCCCGGCTTCATCACCGTTAGCAGATCCCTACGAAACCCCTGCTCCTGTCCCGTGAGGGACAGATGACTCCGTGTGGAACCCAGCTGAGGGAGACACCACCGCCAGAATGGGGAAAGGGGTAGATCAGGAAGGGCTTCCTGCAGGAGGTAGCATACAGACAGCCATTGAGGTGTGGGCACAAAGAGCACCTGTGCAGAGAAGGATGGCGGCAAATGCTGTGAGGGTGACCCATCGTCAGGAGGCAAAGAGCCACCGAAGGTTTATGGGTAACAGGTGTGCAAAATGGCAGAGGGGGCCCAGCTAGTGGGAGGCCAGTGCCCTGGGCGGAGAGAGCTGATGAGGCCTGACGACGTCTGACGGAGGTTG